CCTCTCTGGGCCTTCAGTTCTTTACATATCAAGTCAAGGAGATGATGATTCTCCCTCTTGGGACTTTGTCAGGAGGGATGGAGACAATGCTTGGGAAGCCACAGGCACAGCACCTGGCACAGAGCAATTCTCCAACATAGGCAGGAACTGGCATCACAGAGTCCAACCTCCCTCCCACAGCCTATGCCTACTGTACAGGGAAGATGCTGAGACGTACTGAAGTCTGCCCTGGATGACAGTTAAAGAGGCAGGACCCTTTCTCACTGCCCCTGCTGTGCCTCTGGACCCCAGATATGGATACAAAACAACTTAAAAGCAGTGAGAGGCAATCAAAGGGAGGATGTCTGCATCAGACCAGCTGGAGGAAACAAAGGGCCACTGTGGGCACTGGGTCCACAGTTAGCTGACTGTAGGTTTGTACCTTCCCCAGGACTAGTTGAGCATTCCTAATCCAAAAATCCAAACACTACAAAACCTTTCGACTGTGACAAGGGATGATGCCACAAGTAGAAAATTCCACGTGACCTTATGCAAAGGGTCACATTCAAAATGCTGGCAACACTACACAGAATTAACTCTAGGCTAGAGAAACAATATGCATATGAGGTACAAATGCAATTTACTGGTAGACTTGGGTTTCATACCCATTAATGTGCACACACAAACATGTCAAATGCAAAACTTTCTGATCCCAAGCATTTCAGATAAGGGACAGTACTGTCCTCTGGCCAGATACTTCTTGGTGGGCAGGGTAAAGGTGGTAGCACAGTGGGTGTTCTGTCATTGCAGAATATTGAGCAGCAACCCTGGCTCATTCCCACAACCAAAATGCTTCCTGATACTGCCAAATGTGCTTGGGGTAGGGTTGCCAGATTTAGTAATGCATATTCATTCTGAAAACTTATTCATTGCTCATCTGAAATGTAGGCTGTTTTTTTTTTTTTTGGTGCTGCTGGGGACTGGACCCAGGGTCTCTCCCATGCTAGGCAAGTGCTGTATCTATAGCCCCAACCATTTTTCTTTTAGCTTTTTATTTTAAGGCAAGTTCTCACTAATTTGCCCAGACTGGCCTCAAACTTGTGATCCTGCTGCCTCAGCCTCCCAAGTAGCTGGGACTACAGATGTATACCACTGCACACTCTACCTCACATGTAAAATTAAATGTGGGCAACCTGTATATTATGTGGCAAACCAATTTGGAAGTGGAGTTGGTAAAGCTATACCCTCTTCTTTCATTAAGACCACTGAGGTAGAGCAAACCTATGGAGACCCCATTGCTTCCTTCATTTTCCTCTAGACTCAGCATGCCTCAATTTCCTCTCCCATCTCCTTGCCCCTACTGAGGCAGGAAGTTCACCTCCCCAGATACTCTCCGTTCAGAAGCTGTGATGATGGCTCCACAGTGATGGCTGTTTCAGCTCAGTTTACAGAGCTAAATGTGATTCCCCTGCAGGACTTGCTCCTCTCCCTGCCCTCTTCCTGGGGTCTCAACTCCTACCCACAAACACTTGCCTTTCCCTCTTCAATTAAGAGCACCCCCCCATCCAGTCTGAGGCAGGAAAACAAGGCAGTTAGTCATTTTGCTTCCTTTATCAACCAGTGTCATGTGGCTGGCTCCTTTAATGGCTGTTGTCATGACGACAGGAAGCCAGTCCCGGCTAGCTCTAGGAACTAAAACAAAATTAAAGGGTGGCAGGGAGGGCAACAAGAGCACGGAAGGAGCCAGGGTACAGCTGGCTGGAGTTACCTGGAGGAAATCATACTGAGGACACCCTGTCTCTAGCTCTCCCTTGGTGGTAGGAAGACAGGAAAACACACACACACACACATATCCTGCTCTGGAGAAGCTCAGGCAAATGTGGTGTTTTTATACAGGTTATCCTGTCAGGTGAGTAATCTTTATTCACATAATGAATAAATCTAAACTCAGGCCCTTGTTAAAATAAAGACAGTCACTTGTCCCAGGGCACACAATTCATGAGCGTGGAATTTCTGGTCCATTCACTTCTTTCCAGATTGCCCGTTTCCTTCCTCCCCATTCTCTTGCCCTTGTTTGGTGAGACCAAACACCATCTAGCATGATTATTTTCTCTCTCTGCTCCAACTACCTGGGTTCCTCCAAATCCATCCTGTTCCCTCCAACCACTGAATCTTCTGTACATACAGTTCCTGCTATCCAGAATGGTTTTTCCTTCTCTCCCCTCTACCTCACACCATTACCTACAGAGCCTGCTCATCTTTTATATGTTCTTCAACATCGCATTCTTGGGAAAGAAATTCCTCCGCCCCAGGCATCTTATTATTTCTGCCTTGTTCTGTGATCCTTTCTTTTTCCTGACGGTGGGGATGGAACCCAGAGTCTCACATGTGCTAGGCCACTGCTCTACTAAGCTGCACTGCAGACCATTTTGTATTCTTGTGGTGCCAAGTGCCTCCCCTCCAGACCCTGTGCATCTTACTCTCCTAATCACTCAAGGTTCTGCCAGTCTGTCTCCTGCAGCCAGATGTCAGTGCCAACAGGACAGAAACCAGGCCTGCTTTGTTTACCACTGTGCCTAGGAGCTGGCTCAGTGCTGGACACACACATTTTCAGGAACTGCATCCAGGATTTGAACCCTGCTCTGGTTGAGTCCAAGCACCGTGTGTGTGTGCTGCTAGGGCTCAACCCCAGGGCCTTGCGTGTGCTAGGCAAGTGCCCTATCACTCAGTCACCTCTCTAGCCCCAAACAAACACTTTCTTGCCCTGCCACCTGGGCACTGGGTCCTCATGGCTTCCTATATCAGCACTGGACAGAGCTTACAGCCCATGGCCTCTACTCTTCCTTTGGTGGCTACAGTGGTTCAGACCAAGCTTACACACATGCCTGGCTTATCTAAGACAGAAGTTAACCACTAAGGTACTCCTTCCAGAAAGGTGGGTGAGACTATGACAGCTAGAGATGCGACTCCTCTGAACCTTCAGGGTTGAGAGAAGAATAAAGTGATGTGATTCTCAGATTTCTAGGCAAAAGCTGTCCCACCCCACTGAAGATGAGCTCTCTAACACTGGAGGAACCCCACCCCTCAACTCCTGCTGTCCCCAGAGGAGAGCAAAGGAAGGAAAGAACAGGGATGTCACTTTGGAGGGCACAGACTTGTCACTAAGCTCTCAGGGGCACCCAGTAGTCAACAAGGAGCCCAAAGATGACAGACTTGAACCCATCTCCTGCACCTATTTGGTGCTGTAGAAACAACCTCTACTCTCTCTGGTCCGGGATACTTTCATTTGTACAATGAAGATATGTCACTGACACATCCCAAGGCTGTGGCACTGTACAGGCATAAATGGGCATATTTTGCAGCTAAGCTTGGCTCTAATGTCAGATAACTTTGCCACTTCTTGGTTTAGTGCTCCCCTCAGGCTCCATGAGCCTCAGTTTCCTTGTCTACAAAATGACAGCTCCATCCACTTCATAAGGTTAATGCGCACTCAGAGCAAGGCATATAGCTGCCCCCCTATAAACAGATGCTATTATTAATGAAATAATTGGCCTTAATAAATGCAGAATTTAGAAACAGCCATGAATTTGCAACCAAGAAACTTGTGCTCTGATTCTACATCTGCAGTTTAACATATCTGCCTCTAGCAAGGTTCTGCACCTACCCACTGAGGCAACAAGCAGGGTAACAAGAGGTCTACCTGATTAGGAGCTGGCTTTAGTCCTCAAGCCAGGAGAAAGCTTGTTCCAAGCCCTAACGGCTATTCCTAGGAGACAGGCCCAGCCCTCTGGCCATCAGGAGCAATGCCTGCCCAGCAGCACATCCTAGACTGACATGCACCAGATGTGAAAAAGCAGGACTACTGCTTCCTTCCATAGATGGGGAAAGTGAGTCCTAGACATGTGTAGGGTTCTGAGCGGCTGCTGGCAGAGCCGGGACCAGGAACTCAGCCAGATGACTTGCCGATACTCTTTTCTGCCTACAGCTAGCTGCCTCCTCAATTGAACAACCATTTCATTATAAAGATGGGCTGAGATGAAAACTTCAGGCTTTCCGAGAAATCCCATATATCTTGCATGTCACCTTATTTTAAAATGTCAGAATGTGAAACCAGCTCTAGAGCTGATTCTTTAAACAGAAAGAGACATGACATATACAGAAACACACAAACACTGATACTGTACATGCTTCCCGTGGAGGGTGGGGCAGCAACAGGTTGCCCAGCCTGGAGGCTGCCTTTTCTGGCTGGCTGCCCCCTGCACGAAAGGTCTTCTCTGTGTTTCAGTGGTGCCAACTATAATACACGTTCACAAACGGACAGGAAGCCAAGCACAAGACGCAGGCTTGTGCACAAGGTCTACAGCCATGCAGGGTTCCTGGCAGAGGACTCAAAAGATGCAGACGGCAGCAATGGTGTCTCAGGCTGAGGAATGGGAATGGACAACATAAACACACACACGATCACAGCCTGAGCTTTACATTCACGCACGCTTATGAGTCACATAAATATACACAGGTTCACGCTCAAAAAAATTATACACACATACAGAAACACATACACATGACAGAGATTAACTTGGGTATGTCCAGAGAGACGCACATACATTACACACACAGCCACAGGTGTGCGCATATACACATTCTCACGCAGTACAAGCACCTAAATGCTACTCCTGCCCAGATCACTATAAACTCTCCCCTCTACAACAACCTCGGAGGGCAATGGCTGTAGACACTAACGCAAGACCCTTCACTGAGTCCCGCCCACACGCCGCCCGCGAGACCCACACCTAGGGGAGGGGCCCTCGCGCTGCCTCCGCCCCCGCCTCCACACACCGCTTAAAAACACCGAGGTCCCCTCCCCCACCCGAAGCCCTTGGACCCCCCCCAATTCCACCTGCTGCAGGCCTGCGGGAGGCAACGCCCACCGGGGGCGCCCGCCCCTGAGGTGGCCGTCTTTCCGCGGAGCCTCGTTCCCCGCTGACGACGGTCGCCCCCGCCCCGGGGTCACCCGCACCTACCTCCTTCTTCACGGTGCGCAGCAGCCTCTGCCGGGTCTCCGCCTCTGGGGACAAGCAGGAAAGCCAGTCAGCCGCGCGGTGGGAAAGGCCCGGGCTGCCCTCCCGCCGCCCCGCGCGCGTCCTTACCCGCAGGGGCCGAAGTCATGGCTGGCGGGGTCCGGTGTTATCAGCCGCGGTAGCGGAACCTACACCTGCCTCTCCACTCAGGACTACCGCAGCCACGCGGGGCGGGGCCGAGCGTGAGGGACAGCGCAGGGCGTGACGTCAGGGGCGGGGTCAGCATTGGCTCTTCCTCCTCCACTCGGAGAACTCCGGCAGCCGCGCGGGGCGGGGCCGAGAGCGCGGGCGAGGAAGGGTGCTGACATTAGGGGCGGGACCCGCTGTGGCTCCTGCTTCACTCCGCGAATTGGGGCAGCTGCTTGGGGCGGAGCCTACAGTGATTGACGGCAGAGGTCGTGACGTGAGGAAGAGGCGGGGCGGGCGCTCAGCCAACTCGTGCTCAGCCCCGCCAACTCCTGAAGCTGTGCCGGGAGGGATCTAGCTTGATGAATGGCTGAGAGTGCGACATCAGGGGCGGGGTGAGCGGTGACTCCTCCTTCAGGGACTCGAAATTGCGCGGGGCGGGGCCGAGCATGATGGACCACGGGGTGTGGAGGAATAGACGTCAGGGGC